CAGACAAGGAGGTCCCAAGAAGACCAGGAGAAAATAGCCAGCTAGCTTCCCTATCCTGAAGTTCAGCAGGAACTAGAAGTGTCTTAAAACCAGCCCTTCGTGAAAATGGGCACAATACATAGCAGATGGGCTGGGGGACCTTATTACCGTTTCCTCAATTCCTTTGAAAGCTCTGGTTCCCCATCTTCCTTCTGTACCTGTGGTGGAATTAGCTGTATCCCTGTATCTATGTGTGGTGCCCTTATACACAACCATTATTTGAATCTTGGGAAGGTCAGAGCTAGGAAAGCTCTAGAAAGAGAGCTACAGTGCACTGTATTTTTCTTGGAGACCACAGTGGCCTGTCTTATCTGCAGACCCAGAAATTAATCAATGATGGGAAACCACAGAGAAATCAGAAATAGCATAACAATCTCTTTATTATGATTTCTGCTGTGCCCAGCCTCTGGGAGCTCCTTCTTGGAGTAATGTGAAGGCTGAGCCACAGGAAGGAACATGCAGCTGTAGATGGGAGACAGGGCTTGGGAACATTCCCCTCAGCTTATTGTCGTTACCTTCTGCAGAAAAGTGCATGGGAAGGGCATGAAGGACCAGAGGACACTGGATCCTCCCATTAATCAAGTGCTCTCAGAACCCACGTCACAGCTTGTGCTTGGTTGGGATCATGGGCATCCTTTAATGGCTGGGGGTTAAGCTTGTTGGCCTTTGTTCACCATGGATACAGAAAGGCCAATCCAGTGCTCCACAAACTGGAATGTGAGTGGACTTCTTCATTATTGGTTCAGATAAGACCTGGCTCCTTCTTGATGCTCTGTGTCATGGGGGCATGAGGCCCAGAAGGAAGCAGCTTTTCCTTAATGTTGGTTGGTCTAGTGGAAATTCTGTAATCTGTTCATTTTCTTTTCCTTTCAAGGTTGCCAAAAATAGTGGCACCAGGAAAGCAAAAGCAGGGAAAATGCTCACTCTCACCCTACTCCAGGGCTGAGCTGTCAGGATAGGTGTGATGTACTGAAATGCCCACTCAAGGAGATCTCTCTTGTCTGGGCTGTATCTAGGGGCCCAGAAAGATATTCTGGGCAAATTCAAAATAAGTGGCAAAGACAAAGTACCAATTTTATTCCATCGTAAATAGTGGATTCAAAAGGGACTATGGTTATAGGCACTGCCAGGATATCCTGAAATTCTGGCATCAAGGCTGTTCTGCCTTTTAGTGCCAAGTGCAGAAGAACAGTCATGCACCACATGACATTTCAATCAACAATGGATCTAATATATGATGGTGGCCCCATAAGATTATAGTCTAGTAACATCATAGCTGTCTAACTCTGTAATAGGTACATGCTATGATGTTTGCACTATGAAGAAATTGCCTAATGACACAGCTCAGCATGTACCCCTATTGTTAAGCAACACATGATTGTGTATCTACTTCTACTCTGTTAGCTTGAAGAGGACATGCTTGTGGGAACTCTAGGGCCTGCTGAAAGTTCTCAGTGCTGTCTATAGGTTTATTCTTAGCTCTGGGGTGGTCATAGCTGACCCTGGTCCTGCTAGACAGCTTCTGCTGAGCCTCTCTCTTGACTTTAGGGCTTCTTGGCACCACTCCTACTGAGGCTGTGATGCCTGCAGTGGTTGAAGTTGTGCTTTGAGCTAAGAGGCATGGGCACAACTCTGGGGCTCACTCCTCTGTGAGGTGCCCTCTTCCCAGGCCATTTGATTCTGTGCTTTCTATACTAAATGATAGGAATGGGGGAACTCCAAGTTCCCCCAGGAATGACATCCTATAGGGAGCACCAGGGCCAGAAAGGCAGGTATCTGCCCTGCCAGCCCATTGCTTGGGCTGAGGGTAGAAAGAGGCAATGTATTCATGGCTTCTGCTGCAGCTGTCCTCAAAGGAAGAGCACTTAAGAGTTGGATCAGTACTTAGGAATCTGCTCCATCCCTGGGATACCATAGGGGACCCTGCTCATATGTTCTGCTGGGGAAGGCTGGCTTCAGGAGAGGAAGCTAAGGAGCAGACCTGAAGAGATTATGTGGCCACAGCCACTCCTTAAGTGACCCTCTGTCCCATCAGGCCCCTTTATTTACATCTGAGCATGGAAAATAAGACTGCTGGGTCAAAAAACAGGCTTAGGACATGTGGTCTTAAGAGGAACATATATGTAACTCAAGCCTTGGTTGGAAGTTGGGGTGAGTGGTGCTTGCAAAAAGCACTGATTTCAACTTTTGGCAACCAAGAGTAAAAGACTGAAGCATTTTCTTAAACCCTTATTAGAGCCAGATACTGATTTTTGTACTTCGCAGAATTTCAGACCGTCACAGTGGTGGAAGGGAATGGGCCTCATTTGATTGTTGTAAGTGTATTTCTATACATACTACAGAAGGGCTCTAGAAATTAGAACACTGCAAAGGGAGATTGGGGTGGGGCTTCTGCCAACTCTGAACTGGAGAGCAATGGGCCCTTCCTTTGGCAAGGACCATAGATTCTTATGGAGAAGAGACCAGATGTCCTTCTTTGCTTTTCTGCTTCCCAGATCAGTTGTGGATTGGGAACCTCCATTCTTTGCTGGGAGTAGTATCCCCTGGGCCCTCTGCAGCATCCTACCAAGAAAATTTGCTGCCCTGGAATAGAGATAGAGGTGCTCTCAAATGGTCCTGCCCCCACTGTGGAAGAGTATGGGGCCTGCTCTGCAGGTCTGGGGACACAGCCAGCCTGATCTGGCCTGTGGTCTCCCACCACTCACCCACAGAGAGCTAGGAGTAGCAGCTCCAGAGCAGCAGGCTTCAATCTTCGAAGGGTCAAGAAGCAAGAAGATGGACTTCCCGTCCTTGGGACTGATGGAGGCAGGAGAAAAAAGCTATTCAGCTGTCAAAGCCCAGGGTTTGTATCTACTTAAAATGTCCTGTCTGTGACATCCAGCAGCCCATAGCCACTGACATAGTGAATCATTAGGAAAGTGAACAAGAGCTCTTGTATTTAACATGCTCTAATCTTCTCAGTGTAAAACCCCAGGCCTGGCTGCTTCAAATGCAGTCCTTAGACTCAAGAGTTGTTGTATGCTTTCTTCTTTTCCTTTTTGTTTTTTGGTACTGGGGTTTGAACCCAGGGCCTCTTGCTTGCAGGTAGACGCTCTACCACTTGAGCCATTCTGCCAGCCCTTTTCGTTCTCTTTTTATTTTTGACTAAAATCAATAATGGCCCCTCCTACTGTTCAGTACTGGGAGTATGGCTGAGGAGTATTCTGAAAGAACTATGGGTTTCAAAATGTTCAGAGCCAACATTTGTTTCCTACATGCTTCATTTCAGTCCTAAATATTCCATCTCCAGTAGTTCTCACCCTGTGTCTAGGACAGGCTGTTCTTACAGGAGGCTATCCAGGGTCCCTGGTTGCAGCTCCCCACTTTCCTCTGAGTATCTCAACTGTGTTAGGCTCCTTCTTCTGTAAGCACCCAATTTAGTAGAAGTGCCTTGAGCAATATGTTAGCTTCTGCATGTCTGAGCTCAATTCCGTCTTGAATAACTCTTGGTAGTCAGATCAGGCTATACTTAAGTCATTTGGTTAGACACAGAAAGCTAGAACCTAAACCCCAGGGCAAAGGCTGACTCGTACCACACACTGACTTGAGAACTTTATGAGAACTGGGGAAGGGAGCTGTAGCTTGCAGACCAAGGTTGGTGTACTTGTGGCACACTTAGGTTGCTCCCAAAGTCCTCCCAGGCCAGGCCCAGGCTCCAGCATGGACAGGAAGCATATGTAGTGAGCAGCAGACAGAAGCACCAACTGAAGCTACAGCTCAGTGATGAGGAGAGGGGAGAATTTCTTCTTCTGTGAGGCTTTACTGGACTTCTGTGTGAGACAGATGAGATAAAAATCTTCTTTATCTATCATTGTCAGGACAGCTGAATAGAATCTCTGCTTAAGGCATCTGCAGAGCTGCTCTCTCTTGGACTATGGAAGAAACGGAATCTGTTCTTCACACACCTTTCTAGGTCTATAGTTAAGTTGAGCTGGAATAATGGAAAAGCTTGAGTCCTCTCCTCTCATCTTCCATGAGGACCTTGCCTTCTTCATTGATCTCTGTGGTAGCTGACTTGAGTGAATCACTCAAGAGAACAAAGAGGACTGTGACTCCTGCCAGTTTATTTGTTCCATTCAGATCCCTTGGGCTTTGAGCCATAAACTATCAGTTGAAAAATAGGAGCCAGGAAAGCTCACCTTGATTTTTGACTGTTCTGCTAGAGACTTTTGGACTTGGATGACTTGGCTGAGATGTTAGACTCTGGGAGAGACTGCCTCTCCCTTTTCCCGTTAGGATTCCACAATAGTTGCCTTTTCTGCCATGAGGAATTAGAAGTTAAATATGTGTTAAACTGCAGTGGTGGTTTTTAACTGTCGTCCCACCCCAACACACCAGAGGAACATACATACATTGACTAGCAACAGTGGCTCATGACAGAAGGGGTTTTCAATGTGGCAGAGGGGACTCTCTGCATCTCCAGGAGGGAACATGATCTGAGATGCCCCCTGATTAAGAATCACTTGGCCAGAGTCTTATCTATTGGAAATCAGAACTGGCCTATAGAAGGGGTGAGTAGAGACACCTTCATCAATATCAGGGGTTTTACAAAGGGATGTTGGTCCTTTTCAGCTAAAAAAGAACCAGGTTTTTGAAGTCATGGACAGCTAGGCATGTATGTGAATGTGTGTGCACACACATGTATGCGTGTGGTGGCAGGTCCAGTCTGTGATGTGAGGGCAGGGGGTGATCCAGGAGCAGATGCTGCCATAGCTCTCAGGGCTTCTCCCTGTGGCAATGCATTTACTGCCTCTATTGTGAGGGGAATGGTGACTTCAATGCCATAAAACTTAATGACAAATTAAGATTCTGGCAGTGCCCCATTCCCATGAGTCTCGGTGCCAGCAGTTGGTGGAGGAAAGAGAGAAAGGAAAGGGGGGAGAAGATGCCACCATCTCTGAACTGTGCTTCTCTGCTCCATGCTATCCTGGGGGTTTCAGGTGAATGGCTGCACTGTTGGGGCGAGCAGCCAAGATGTAGATGACATTCTCTTGTAGGAAGGTGGTCCAGTCCACAGATCTGCAGAATAGAACAGGTTTATAAGGCTGGGTGTAGAGTCTGAAGGCTCATGAGACTCAATTCCAAGAGGCAGCATGGCTTGGGCTAGACAAAACCTGGGGAAGCCCTAACTGTGCCTGAAGAGGTTACAGATGTTTGTGCCACCAAGCCACTGGATCAGTTACTTGACCCTAGAGACTAGGGTTAAGGGTCATCTTGGAGACTGGTTTCTGAGGTAGCACTTGCTATTTTGAAGTGGCAGAAGCTGATGACTTCTCTTACTTTTATGTGTGTGTTAGAGTGGCAGAGGGTACAGTCAACAGTGAAGAGGTTCTACTCACCTGGACTCCTGCTCTGCAGGCAGCTGGGCCTTATCCTGACTCTTGCTGCTGCTGCTGGCTGGGCTGCTGTCTGCTATAGGACCCACATGGCTGATGCTGCTGGGCACAAGGACATGTGGTTAGGAGTGGGATGGATAGTGGCCCTTCCCAAACTCTGATGAGCTCTGGAATTTAGGGTAGAGGCCACCCTGTAATCTGCCAATAGGAATCACTATCCTCTGCCTGCTGCTATTGGCAGAAGAGGCAGGGAGGTACCTTTTACACCAAAGGCCATCACATGGAAAAAGAAAGAGGACGAGTGGGGCAGGGACTGGTAAAGAGCAGACCTGACGGTGCAGGAAGGAGCTTCTGTGAGGCGTTTGCAGAACCACGAGTGCTGGGCACGGTGGCACTCTGCTTCACTGATGGTATTCTCACTGCCCCGTGCCAGGAAGGTAGCTCGGGCTCGTTCCCGCTCTTTGACTGTTAGAAGCCTCAATAAAGAGTTCTGGGGAAGTAGAGACAAGTTAAGATCTTTTTTAAAAAATTTATAAATAACTCTCTTATTTATTTTATTTTATTTTATTATTGTATTATTATTGTACTGGGGGTACACTGTGACATTTACAAAAGTTCTTACAATATACCATAGTTGAATTTGCTACCTCCATCGTTTTCCTTTATCTCCTCTTCCCCCATTCCTGGAATAGTTTCAACAGGTCTCATTTTTCTATTTTCATACATGAGTGTAAGTTAAGATCTTGAAGGTGAAAACATCTTCTAAACTGTCAAGCTCTAGAAAACCTACTTCTGCTACTTAACCTTTGTTAGCTCCCTTTGAAATTCTCAGAGCTTTCTTGGTAGCACATTTTCAGGGGAGTCCAATATAAACCAATCTTCCTTGGGCAATTTCCCCAGCCTGGGCACTGATCACCTGTTACTGCATGCAACCTGAGCCCTAATACCTAACTATTCTTTCTCAGACAGTACCCAGTCCCCCAAACCTGCCCAGCATGCTTCCCATGCCTCTGTCACCCAGTATCCCATGGACATTCACCCCAATTTCCCCTCACCTGGGGACGCAATTGCTGTAGAAGTAGGAGGGACTCATGGGATAAGAAGTCAGGCCACTCTATGTGGCCTCGATGTTCAGGATCCATGGCTGCAAACTGGCGGGCTGCCTGCTCCTCTTGCTGGTCACTCAGGGCCCTGCCACTGTCCCCCCGCTTTGCTGCTTGGTGGCGGTAGCGTAGGAAGTCCTCCAGCGTCAGGGAGCAATCTGTAGGAGGCACCCTTGCTGGCTATGCCCACCCTTCCTCAGCTTCAGCACATTCATGCACCTTCAGCACACCCTCAGTGCCCCCACAGCCACAGCTCTTGTCAAGCTTTTGCCTCCCATAGTCAGGGTAGCTCAGACTGTGGTGGAGGTGGGTATCTCTGCTAGCCAACAACTCAGGAACAAAGACCAATTTATTCCTACTCCTCAAATTCCAGAATACTCATTTCATAGCTCATCCTAGAAAGGATGAAGGGGAAATCTGTCTGGCCCCTCTCCCTTCCAGCAGCACTGACTAGCCTTACCAGGGATGACTTTACACTGCTGAAAGGTCTCTGTGAGGCTGTACATTTCCTCCTCTGTAAGCAGCAAGTTGAGGTTGTCCTGAAAAAAAAGGCAGAACTGAATCAGTGGTCACCAGACCAGTAAGAAAGAAAAGCCAAGGAGCAAGAGGGATGGAAACAGTATTTCAACTGGAAGACAACTCCAATGTCACCTGATCCCAGTCTCCTATCTATAGTCAAGGAGACCGAGGTCCCAGAAAAGGGAAAGGACTTGCTCAGAGATGTCTAAGTCTGGGGTGGAATGTTGCCCAGAACCCAGATATCAGGACTCTGGCTGAGCCCCCTTTATTAAAATAGTGGTTTTTAAATTATCCTCTGAACTAAGCCAGAGATTTCTTAGAAGTGCCTTAGAAAGCTACTACAGGGATAAGGGGCTAGTGAGTAGACAGTTATGAGTCTCCATCCCACCAACCAGAGCAACTCTATCTATATTCAGTTTGTGTATCTGGTCTCTAGTGTTAGTTAGGATATTTTAGTTAAAATTAATGCTAGCTTTGGTTCTAGTGAGCAATATTGATTTAAATGAATCCAGAAATGGTTTCGAAAGAGATGCTATCAAGATTCCCAAAACCAAATTAATTTTTCTGTGGTACCACAGAAGTTTTAATTCCAAAAAAGAGCTGATATCTTATTTTGCTGACACTACTATGCAGTCTTCAAACTATCAAAGATTCTTTATAGTAGGTGGTTGACTGCCCCGCCCCCCGCAATTGCTAGCAAAGAACAGAAGCAGATGTTTCATGAGTATTCATTTGTGGGTTCTATAAAGAGCTTGAATTATTCTTTCAATAAGCACTTACTGAGCACTTAGTATGTGTGGGGCCCCGTGAGGGCGTGTATGCAACATTGTGAGATATTCGGGGTCTGGAGTATAGAGCGTGTGTAAGTAGGGAGTGCGGGCAGGAAAATAAAAGATATGGGAAGGGAGGTAGCCTGACTGTGAAGTGCCTGAAATGCCCTTGATTGAGTCACTTAAAGTAGTCTTTACTCTGAGGCCAAAGAGGAGACACTGAAGGGTTAAATGAGGAGTGCCAAGGTCAATCTCTGACTGCTGAGGAAAACTGGATTAGAGGGGCAAAGTCTGGAGGCATGGGGACTGGTTAGGTGGTTCCTGCGATAGTATAGGTAAGAAAAGATGAGTGGCTAAACTTGGATATGAGAGTGGAGGGGAGAGACTTGAGAGGTATTAGAAGTAGAGTTGACAGAACCCGGTGACTTACTGTACATGAGGGAGAGAAAACAGCTGGGAATGAGAACTGGGGGTAGTGGTGGTGCTATTCACAGAGATTTAAAAAAATGGAGGAGCAGCAGGTTTAGGAAGAGAGATAGGTTCATTTGGGGGCATGCTGTATATGAAGTACCTGTGAGACATCAAAATAGATAAGTTCAAGAGATAGGAAATCTAAGTCTAGACACACAGATATGGGAGTCATTAGGTGTTTAAATGGTGGCTGTAGGATGAAGTCACCCAAAGAAAGAGTGTTCAGTGAGAAGAGTGTTAGCAATAGAACCTTGAAAAATATCAGCATTTAGAACTGAGACAAAAACTAAAGGCATTTCAAAGAATGGTCAGATAAAAAGACCAGAAGCAAAGCAGTACAGCATACTGGATACCAAATGAAGAGAGCTGCACGATGTAGGAGGTCATGTTAACAGTGACAAGTATGGTAGAATTGTATTGATTTTTCTCTTTTCTCTAGTTTCCATATCTTATAATAAATATTATAAATATATCTTATAATATTCCACAAAATATTTAAACTCTAAGAAAAAGAAGGGGAAATAAGTGCTAACTACTTTCTTCAGAAAAGTTGAATAAGAAGATGCCTGAGAAAAGGTCATTGGACTTAACAATTAGGTAGTCACTGGTGATCTTAGTAAGAGACAATTCAGCAGAATGATGGATGCAGAAGTCTTGTTGTAGGTGGTTGAAGAGCCACAAGGAGTCATAACAGAGGAAATGATAACATTCTTTTAAGAAGCCTGACTGTAAAAGGAAGGAAGAATAAAGGATGAACTTGGAAGAAGGCTTTGTAAAAGGTCTGGTGGAGAGTGGTGATAGGAGCATAACAGGAAGCCAGGAAGGGAGCAGTGTATTCCTGGGGGATAGGAAAGAGACACCTGAAACTCAGTCCAATGTTGGCAGCACACCAAAAAGCAGAGTTGTTGTGAGTGAAAAGGCTGGCATCCCAAAGTGGGGGTGGTTGGCACTAGAGAAGGTCATTTGTACATCAGGGTCTGCTGTGGCATACTCTAGAGGGAAGATGTTTAACTGTTCTACACTTCGTCTTATGGACAAGCCACAGAGAAGGAATTAGTGCTTTCTTCAAGACAGCTGGAAGAAGGGGGGATCACCAGATGCTCCTTACACTGAAATCAGAGAGTCTGACGATATCTGCATGACAACATATCAAGAGGGAAAGAAATTCTATTCAGGTGTGGTGAGAAATGGATATGAAATCTGGCTGTCAATGGAAACTTTAGATTCTGTCTTCCATTAAGAGTTGGAAGGCATTTGCATATAATTTGCAAAGTTCTGAATCAATAGAGCTTTGCTATTTAATTCACATAATGTTCAAAGATGGAGAGCAAATGCTTCTAAGAGTCAGATCAAGTAAGGATCCCAGGATGAAGTAGTTTTCTTATGATAGAATCTGTTCCTATAGGAAGCAAGCTGGTTAGGATCTCAGATTGGTTTCTCAGCTGAGTACAATAAATGACAACCACAGAGAAATTATTAGAGAAAGCACTGCTCTAAGCAGAACTACTTTTCAGCAATTAGATAACATTTTATCCACTCTACTCCCTAACTCCATAGCTCTCAAATGGGGGTAATTCTGCTTCCTCCAGGACACATCTGGCAATGCCTGAAGACATTTTTGGTTGTCACAACTTGGGCGTATGCTACTAGCATTTAACAGAGTAGAGGCCAGAGATGCTGCTAAACATCCTATAATGCACTGGCCCTCCACAAGAAAGGATTATCCAATATGTCAATGGTACTGAGTTGAGAAGCCCATTCTAGCTCTAGGACATTTGTCCTAGAAAATCCTTTAGGTCACTGCCTCAAAACAGGTGTTCTAAGACTGGGCCTTCTGGAAAAGTGCCAAGTCCTCTGCTGTACAGCAGCCCACTGTCCCTGCAGTCCAGGCTCACACAGTAGTGGCAGCTCCAGCCTGTTTCTGTGTGGGCCATCTCTGTCATCTCCGCTGCACTGTCTCCTTGGATATAGCCCATGCGGCGCAGACAGCCATCATGGAAAACTCTGGTGCAGACTCTGCATGGGAAGAGGCTCTCAGCTGTCCAGACTTCACAGATATCACACATCTCATCGTTGACAACCTGGTGAAAGATGGCAGGAGTGAACAGGGATGTGAAAGTTAAGGAAGCAAGATCCTATGGCCACTAAGCACAGAGCTACCTGCACGGGAATGAGTCTCTAGGAAGTAGCCTAGAGGCTATAGTTCCAGCTGATGCCAATGTGAAAGTGATACAGCTTTCTTCCTAGTGGATGAGAACCAGGAGGCTCTTCTAGCTGCTTGCTCAGGCCTTTGTGACCATGTTTATGAACAGGGATGCTACTGGCATTTTTAGAAAGAACAATTTGTTATGAGTGATTATCTCAGGCATTAGGGGACACAGCATCCCTAGTTTTCTTGGTGCCGAACACCAATAGCAATCTCCAGTCATTAGGACCTGCCCCAACTCCCTTTTCCCAAATGACTCCTACAAGGTTACCACCATCTGTGGTTGAGAATCCATGAATGGGAGGGTTGGCAGAAGAGCTACCAGGCTGTCATTCCTTATCATCCACTATCTTAAGTCTTTCACTGTAACTAATCCAAGATGTAACTAATGTTTTTATTCTCATGGAAAACTTTTTGAGTGCTGGGAATAGGACCTAGGGCCTTGTGTATGCTAGAGAAGCAGTCTACCACTGAGCCACATCCCCATTCCTCTTATGGAAAAACATTTAAAGGCTGTTCTGGACTCAACTCCATCTTTCTGGTTTCCATACTCACCTCAACCATACACATGTAGGTATCCTTGCCCTGCTCCTTGATCCCTGGAAAGTCTAAAACTGGAAGATTCTATGCTAAATGGATACTCACTTGCTCTCTGGGCTCCAAGAAGACATCTGGAGGCTTGTCATCATCCAGCTTCCGGGTGGGGCGGATGAAGGCAGGGGGTGTGAATCGATTGGTCCTGTCAAACTCCTCAGGCTCTACTCCACGCCCATCTCGAAGCCGCTCCCAGGCTGCACGGTTGACACTGCTCTCTTCCTGGATCACTGGCATGTCTACCTCTGCTTCTTTCTCCTCCTGTACCTCCTGGACAGAGCCATCCCCGGTGCCATGGTGGGACCCTGGTAGTTCACCTGTGCGTCGGATGGAAGGCCTGTCCCGCAGCCCATCCTTGAAGGCAGACACAGCCAAGCTCACCTTCTGAACCTGCTCCACTGTCTGCCGCTTGGACATCAACACCCCCATGGTTCTGTGGACAAAAAGCAGAGCACACAGACTCAGCCAGCGGCCCAGCATGTTGGGCCATTCAGTTTCAACCATTACCAAAGAGGCAACTGCTATTAAATGCTTTTCTCTTCTCCAGAACTCAGTAGCAGGGTGAGAAAAGTACATGTAAAAGAGACAGAAGACCCTGGTTCTACTTCTGACTGGCTCTCTGATTTTGGTTTTACCATCTATGGAGTGAGGGCTATCTGTTCAGGCCACTTTACAGGGCTGTCATGAGGATAACACAGAAAATGAGCTTGGGCTGCAGAAACAGGTCAGTGGTGGAGTGCTTGCCTAGCATGGGTGGGCCCCTGGATCTCTAAAGAGAAAGGGGAAGGGGGGAAGGGAGGAAGGGAGTGAGAGAGAGAGAGAGAAAGAGAGAAAGGAAGGAAGGAAGGAAGGAAAGAAGAAAGAAAGAATATATGAATATGGGAAGAGAAGAAGAAAGGGAGAGAGGTTAGGGAAAGTCAGTGTAACAATGCAAAGCACTCTACACATATGAAATGGTATCCCTGTTTTCTTTCCTGTCCTAAAGTCAATTTGATCCAAGAGTCATGGGTCTTTGTTACTTTGAGATAGTTGGAGACTTCAGAGCTTAGGTTTCTCCTCTACTCCACAACAAAACTCAAAGCAAGTCTGCAGCAATACATTTCAGGTCTTCTGATTGAAAGAAGCCACTTCCAACAAATATTGTACATAGTTCATCGAGGGATAATCTTCATTTTTATTCTTATTTTTTGGCAGCACTGAGGTTTAAATTTGGCCTCATGCTTGCTAGGCAGGTGCTTACTGTCTGAGCCACTCTGCCAGCCCTGTTTTGTATTGGGTATTTTCAAGATAGCATCTCATGAACTATTTGCCCAAACCCTGCTTTGAACCATGAACCTCCTGATCTCTGCCTCTGCATAGCTAGGATTACAGGCATGAGCCACCAGTGCCTGGCTGATAATCCTCATTTTTAAGCCAGAGTGAATGAACTATTTTTAGAAGACTCCTGAATCAGGGATTCAGGAAACTCTGCATGTAGTTAAGGCCACAAATACTTCTCTGTTCTCCCTAATCAGTATCTATGCTTCTTTGTGGGTCTTTCCTTCTATCACATACAACTGGCCTATTACAATTCTGTGGCACTTTTCACCCTTAAGACTTCACTAATGTCACTCCTACATTTTCAGCTTTTTCTTTTTTCCATTTTTTAACTTAGGATATATTCATTGTATGGGGGGATTCATTGTGACAATTTCAAATAGGCTTATATTGTACATTGGTTAAATCACCCCCACCGTCTCCCTCAACCGCTTCTCCACCCCATTTAAATCTATTGCAAGGTTTCTTTGTTTTTATTTTGTATCAGCTTTAATTTTCTGATTTTAACCTTTTACAGGTTAAAAAGGACTATTATTCCTGTCCCTCTCTATAGGACCATAATGTAGCATTGGAAAGTGAGGACATGACATGGCACGTTACAAAGCTGGTCTGCTATATCCTACCCTGAGGAGCCTTAGTGGAAGTCAGCTGTGGACTTTTTTTTTTTTTTTTGGTTTATGGAAATACATTTTATTATTTTTTTCTTTATTCGTGGCCCAAACAATGTACGTACATATAAATAAATGAATAAAGCTGTGGCTTCTTGTTCTAAGTGAGCAGAGTCTGTTTTAGTCTTGCCCTCAATCCATCCTAATCATGGCTTATTGAACAGTACTATGTGCAGGGCACTAACTGCTCCTCACAGGAAACAGAAAACAGGAGATGAGGGTCTCACTACTCAAGCTATTTAATATTAGAAACCAAGCAAAATACTGGGAGCTCCTAAAGGAGGCTGAGACCACACTATGGAGGGTGGTCACAGTGGACAGTGAGGGGTAGGTAGGAAGTCACCTTCAGTTTGTTTATGGGAAATGGTGGCAGTGGGTAAGAGGAGAGGTAGAAATAGTTAGCAGTCTAATATAATAGTCTGGGCAAGAGGTAGAGATTAAAATGCAATGATGACAGCAGGAATAATACTGAGGGTATTTGTTACTGTGGAAATAGAATTAGGGAATTTTAGGACAATTAACTGGATGGACAAAGGGAGAGACAGTAGTTTTACACTGACTAGAAGAATAGCAGTGTCAGTTATAGAAAGTGGACAATAAGATAATGAGATTGGATTTTGTATATGTTGAATTAAAGATATCCTTGGGGGCAATCAGGTGCCATCCTATTTCTGCTTTAAATTTTTGAGTGACTTCCTATAGCTCCCAAATCTGTCCTTTTACCTGTGAGGGCCTGTGAGGCCCTACACAGTCTGGCCTTTTTCTTCTTCTTCTTCTTTTTTTTTTTTTTTTTTGTGGTACTGGGGTTTGAACTCAGGGCCTACACCTTGAGCCACTCTACCAGCCCTTTTTTGATGGATTTTTTTCAAGATAGGGTCTTGTGAACTACTTGCCTGGGCTGGCTTTGAACTTCCATCCTCCTGATCTCTGCCTCCTGAGTAGCTAGGATTACAGGCAGGAGCCATCAGTACTGGCCTTCCTTCTTTTCTCTGTGTTCCAACCTTCTAGCTTGTGTCAGTCTAGTTTGGGGACCTTTGAACATTCCTTCATCCATGAGTGCCTATTCATCAGTTGAGCTTGGGGAAGTCACTGCTGACTCCAGTCCAGGCTAGAGTGCTTATGGTACCATGCTATTTTGCTCTGGAGCACTCACCTTCACCATAATGTATTTAACAGGCTGATTATCTGATCAATATCAGCATCCTCTATTTAATTGTTTTTACTCTGCAAAGTACCTATCCCTAGTGCCTAGTAAGGTATCTGGATCAGAATAGATGCTTAATAATCATTTTCCAATGAACTAATTAATTAATTGTGGAGAAGTCTTTTAAAAATAAAACATTAACATACATCATATCTGATGACAGCCACATACTCTTTTCAGAAGCATGGCTTGTAGGCACTACAGTGGTGCAAATTTCCACCCTGCCATCTATTGTTACTGAGGACACCCACATTCTTGAATTTATAAACTGATAAGAGGAAAGACTTACCTCTTTCACTTTTAAAATTTGTTTACAAAATTAAAGTATGTTAACTAAGGAATATTTACTTTGAATAAGTAAGAGACTTACGGGGCAAAGATTTTTGAGCAGATTCAGGAAATCATGCCTCAGTGGGCAATTAATAATACATTCTGATTTTTAAAAACCCTTTTTTCCTTAATTGGGAACAAATATTGGACAACATGGGAAAAGTGAAATTTAAGAACGAGGAAAGACTGAATAACATGAAAAACATTGAGGCAGAAGTATAGTTATTGGTATAGAAAGATGTTTAAAATATGTGAATAAAAAACAAGCTACAAAATGTTATGATCAATTTTTTTGAAGAAGACATAAGTATTTTGAATCCTTTTGTTATTCAGTATTTTCTAATTTTCCAACATTTCACACTGATTATATATTAAAAAAAAAATCCCAGAGTAAACAATATGGTTACTTCTTTTAGTTTGGAGCCTGCTGTTCTGTGACCCAGAATATGCTGCTTTATTGCTTTGGGCTCAAAGTCTATCTGTTAAAGTCTGTGTGTGGAGCATATAGGCCTCAGTATTTAGAATGTGACCTAATGAGGATATCCAGCCAGAGCTGGGTGGGGAGTGAATGTTGAAGCTTTTGCTGAGGCTCTGGACTGGGCCTTTAGTCCTCAGACACCACCCAGGTGCCTCAAGGGTAAAGGCTATGCTCTATGGTTAGGCAGGAAGGCTAGTCCCCAAGGCACACCAAGAGGGAAAAAGCAAAACTGACACATAACCTCATTGTACATTTTCATTATGAGCAATGTTTTCCAAAATCACTAGGTTTTCCTCAGAAACCTTAAGCATTCTGTTTTTCTATTTTTTAAAGGCAGTACTAGAATTTGAAATCAGGGCCTTGTGATCACTAGGTAAGGTACTCTACCACTTGAGCCAGACCTCCAGCCCTTTTTGCTTTAGTTTTTTTTTTTTTTTTTTTTTTTTTGATGAAACTGGAGCTTGAACTCCGGGCTTTGTATTTGCAAAGCAGGTGCTCTGCTGCTTGAGCCACACCTCCAGTCTATTTTGCACTGTTGTTTTTGGGGCCAGAGTCTCGAGAACTATTTGCCTGAGTTGGCCTTGAACCACAATCCTCCAGATCTCAGAGTTCCAAGTAGCTAGGATTACAGATGTGAGCCACTGAGACTGGCTGCTTTAATTATTTTTCAAATAGGTTAAAATAGTTATTTTTTGCCTGGGGCTGTCTTGGACTATGATCCTCCTATTTACGCAACCCATGTGGCTGGGATTACAGGTGTTACCATGAGTGGCTATTTTTCAAATTTTTTTACTGTGGCCAAGAATAAGAAATATATTTGATGTGATGAGCCCCTATATACATATGTTTATAGACCTGTAACTGGACCCAAAGTTTTGGGGAAAATCCTACTTTTACTACATGTGATGCTTGTTCCCTGACATTTTCTGTCCTGTTTCATTAAACAACCCTGATAATGACTCTCTAAAGTAACTTTATGAGCTAATAAATTTGAATCTAAAATTTGAAAAATTCACCCTTAGGATCATTTAAATTTTTTAAATTTAAGAACTATATTTTTTCTTTTGATTTAAAGATGGTTATCTATAAAGACAAGGGTATAAGGAATACTTTGGCCTTGACGGATACCATGCAAGATGAACAGTTCACTCAGACTTATCTTAAGAATTTGTGTGGTTGGAAGATCTAGCAGAGATGGACTGCTACTAAAGAAAGCCTTCAAATAAAGAAAACCTACTCTGTGATGAGACATGAGAAAGATTTGACTGGCCATTGCTATCTCTGAAGAGAGAGGAAGGGGCCATAAGCCTAGGAATATAGATGGATTCTAGAAGCTGGAAAAGGGGAGTAAACAGATTCACCCCCACAACACCTAGAACGCTATGTGGCTTTATTGATACCTCAATTTTAGCTCAATGAGACTGTGCTGGAC